TGTTAAAGAATCCTGCTCAATTATACTCACCAACTTGCAGGAAAATTTTCGGCGAGGTAACGTGATGTAAAAACTTGCAGTATATATCCAACATTCACAGGATTTTTTCAGATTCCTGCGTGTCAACACAGGAATTTGTAAATTTTTTTTCAGTGGGTAGTATGATATGTTTTATTACTTCTTTCACTAGGTTAGTTATTGCTAGATGAAGTCTAACCAGCCTAACCAGATCATAGATGTCTCATCAATATATTTGTTCATCTTTCTCCGGACGAGGTCACCTAGTAAATACTCAACGAATCTATTAACAGGATAATGTTGATACAGCCAATACCATTGATCTAATTCTTTTAATAATATGTGACAATCGGGCGATGTCTCCATTGTTTTTATCCAGCTTGTTAATTTCTTGTGGTTTTCAGTTTGTGGTCTTCTTGCATGAAGTTCAAGTGTTTTTTCATTTGAAAAATGATATAATTGTTCATTTGAAAAATGATATAATTGTTCATTTGTCACCTGGTACAAATTATATACGGTTCGAATAGCACGTCGTGCAATGATTTCATCGTGTTCTAAGCAGGGCTGTTATGCTCAGTCAGACTTTGGGGGATACTCCATTGAGGTAATAATTTTTTCTCAGAGAACACAAGAAAAAGAGATTTTCGGTTGGAGAAATCGAGGATCTTTAATTTTTGGGGAGGTATCGCAGCCCCTCTCCCTCTCAAGAAGTATGCCATGTCTCGTCCGAACTCTGCATGTTGTCGAATCACTGCATTACGTCATCAATTGCCATACAAACGATCCTTGTTAAGTTTACAATTATTTAGACTTTTGAGCCAGAAGTTCTCATTTTGAAAACTGATAATCTCAGTTTCGAAAAAAAAATAAGCCGTGACAGCGTTGCGTCCATTAAGCGCTGCGACAGTTCTCTTTATCTTCTTCGCTTTTTTACTAGTCCTAAATGTCGCTAAAATCGATGCAGGAAAACAAATGAAAATCAGGAAAAAATCTTAAAAATCAGCCCATTGCCAAATTTTCTACGTGACTTGTCTCACCAAAACGAGAAAATAAAAGATGCGTTTAAAGGGAAAGCGAAAAGAAACGCCATATCTAATTTTTTAATTTCCGCATTTCAAAAAATAACGTTTTGGAACGAAATTAAACATGGCGCTTGGTTGCGTTCGTGAAAAGAAGAAAACGCCAATTTTAATTTTGGAATTTAAACACATTTATTAAAAAGAACTTAGTTTTTCAAGAACGCAACGAAACGCTATGTTTAATTTCGCGCTCCAAAACGTTGTTTTTTTGAAGCATGTGGAAACTAGAAAATAAGATATGACGTCCAATAAAATTAATAATTTTATAGGCTCAGGAATTGGTAGACTCGATGGTCTGCGATACTGATCTTAAGCACCGCTATCCTCGCTACTTTTCTAAATCTATAACGACCCTAGGAAGAGAAAAACTTACAAAACATTTCTTAGTCAAATATACTAAATAAGTGACGCACGACATCCAAAAAGTTTGTAGATATTCCGCTTTTTCGTTTTGCTAGAGCTTTTTCTTCTCGTTTTTGAAAAACGCGATTAAAGGCGTTTTTACTATAAGTAGGAAAAAAGCGCTTTTGAACGGGTTTTTAAACAATGATGTTTACCAGCATTTATTTTCTATATGAGATAAAAACGTCTTTAATCGCGTTTTTTCAGCAAAAACGACTTGATATGGGTTTTTAACAAATAGTATGTTTACTGACATTTATTTTTTAAGTGACATAAAAGCGCTTCTAATCGCGTCTTTTTAAAAACGAAGAAAAACTTAAGCAAAACGAAAAGCAGAATATCTTCAGACCCTATCATCGGAAAAAAAATCCAGTTGGTTTTGAGTTGCTGAAAAGTGCTTTTTCGTATTCAGCACGCTCGATAACCCAAAAGATTTTCTGTTTTTGGCGAAGGGTACTTCCAAAAGTTTAGGAAAATTTTTGAAACACAATGGCGCAAAAAAATTTTCACGAGAAAGTAATATTAGTTTGAAAATTTTTCCTAAACATTTCGAAATACCTCTCGCCAAAAATAGAAAATCTTCTGATTATCAAGTGTGCTGAATACGAAAAATCACTTTTCAGCAATTCAAATTCAACTTTATATTTTGTATATTGTGATATGTTCCTTGGTCGAGCTTCGTGCGTCACTTCGAATTATTTTCTAAATTCTTCTCCACCTACAGTCATCAACTACTGTTATAGAAAACTAGCGTTCACACAAGTCAACGAAGGAAACTTTTATCTTTTTCGCTTTTTCACCCTTGAGGCGTCTTCTTAATCCTTCGTATTTCAACGTTTTTTTTTGCAGGCATTTAATGTTGTTTAATGAAAATTACAAACGTATTAATAATGCGTTTGCAATTTTCAGTTTCTTCCTAAGAGAATACTTTCATTGTTATATTATCCTTCCTAATGATTTTTCTTATGAAATAAATATATAGTTTTTAACTATATATTATGTTATGTACGTCTGGTCTGGTATTATTACCAGACGAGAAAAAACGAGATGAAAACTGTTAGTTGTGCAGAACCATGTTCATAAACTAAGAACCGTATTATTTCCAATCCTAGTGTCATAAATTGTATATAAAAGGAATAATATATGTATGTAAAGTACTGTAGAGTTTGCTGTATAAAGAGGCAACAAGCTAATATTCTGGTGGACAATAAGCCATCCAATCAGTGTGTACTGTGTTTTCTTTTTGATATATGATTGATATGATTGATTACGTTGTTTCCTTTTAGGTCCACAGAGAGACTGTCTACGTCTATCTGCATTGATCCTGGCTCCTTGGAGCTACTATTTGAAGCTAAAAGGAAACAACCGATTGTTTATTGTAATTTAAGTCTATGTTATTCTGGATGCAGATACTTTTTAATCCTTTTAATAACAATGTAACTGGTAAAAGACACATTTTACTCACTACTAAGTATCTGAAGATTTTCTCAACAAGGGCAAGATAATCGAAGTAGGATCTGGGCAAGTTAGAAATCCAGACATACAATAAGGCGGTATTAGCAACGTAATCTCAGGTTCATACTACTCTCGCGACTTACGCCGCACTTTTATGCCGAGTGCACTCTGAATATAAGCTATAAACCTTTATTATCGCTTGTACGTTTGATTGTGATATGCTAGTTGTACTGTTCTTCTTTTTTTGTCAGTTTTTAAAAAGTTAATGGTATTTGTGTTTGTTTGAGCAGAACATTCGTGATGCTATAGGCTGTTTTGAGGTATCTGTTAAAGTTTTCAGCATTAATTGCTACTAGCAACGCTTTTTGAATCGATTTTGCGTCAATATATCGATTAACGGTAGAAAATCTCACGGGCACTCAGTGTGACTCCGTTTTGGCGTCATGTTAGCTCATTATTGGTTACAGTATGCAATACGTATTTTCTTTTTCTTTGACGCTGTGCACCTACGATAAATGTTACATCGTATGTACACAAACATACTTGAGAGACGAGACTAATTGTTCCAGTGGTAATTACCCTTTATTTATGTACCATAGTTTCAGACATATAGCTTGTTGTTTAGTAGAATAAATACTTCATCGACCATGGACTAAAATGGACACGGATTCCGAAGAATACTACATAAGAAACAACTGGGAATGGATTAAATTACCAGTGAATATTAAACAGGTAAGTAAAGTACATTGATCTGAATGAGAATAATAAATTTGTATTTTCTGTATTATTTAGAAATTTGGAAATACCGAAAAAGAATATGAAAAAACTGTCGTCAATTTTAGTATCAAACATCAGCTGCGATATAAAGGAAATTTAGGTAAATACTAAGATTAAACAGTTGACAGTTATGATTTAATAATTTTTTACAAGTTACTCATCCACGTCTTCTATTCTCTATTAGTTCGAAAAATTCACAAGGATACCCGTCGTTATTATGATGATGTATTGAATTATAGTCGTCAACATTTGATGTTATTTCCCTATCATTTATCTGATATCTATGTCAAAGGATTACGTGTAACACCATTTTCATACTATATCGATATGTTTTGTGATTTAATACAATCAGAAAAATCCTACGATACATTACCAAACTTTACAGCTGCCGATTGTTTGAGATTATTAGCTATTGGTCGAAATCAGTATATTGATTTAATAAATCAATCACGAACAATATTGACATCGCGAAAAAAATTATTTAATTTGTCAACATGGAAAAATAATAGTACATCATCGATAAGACATTTATTACCATTGCAACCCGTTGATGCTCTTGTTATCGAACCATGGTGGAAAGTGAATCTTGGATGTGTGACAGATGATGATGTTAAATCGTGTACACATGATGAAAAAGTAATTATTGATTATTTAATCGATGAAACTTGTTCAAAATTAGCGGGTGAATTAAATTGTCTATCTGTTCATTCATTGTATCAGAAAGGTAAGCAGAAGTAATCGAAATAAGAATAGTTGTTTAGTTAGTCTTTTTTTATATAGGTTTAATTTATTTGGATGTACCCGTTTACGATGACGATCATATACATCTGCCACCATTAGAAAATTTTGTTATGAATCGAATTGTTGGTGATTATTTTGAAGTTTTATTGTATAAATTATTTGTATCTACCGATGAACATACAAGTGTATCCGAATTAGCTAAAATATTAAATATAGATACTGAATTAGTTAAACAGACAATATCCATGTTTTGTCGATTGGGTTTCGCTCGAAAAAAAAATCTTGATTATGATCAGTTTATTATTCATACATCGTGGAAAAATTTTATGAATAATAGTAATGGTGATAATACATCTTTATCATCAACATCTCCGAAACAAAGCACAGAACAATCGCAAAAATTCTTTGAATGGAAATCAGATTTAGAAATGGATAGTTTAATAACACTAGCAGATGAAACAACACCGTTACAAACGCCTAGCGAAGAACAGGTATGTAAACTAATTATAATTGTAGATTTTACTATTGACAGAAGTAGAAGACATTATTAATAGTGAAGAATTGTGGTTAAAATAATAGTGAAGTTTCAAGGAAAATTTTATTCTACTAATCTGCGGTGGCATAGCTAGGTAGCTGACTCAGTGGACCATTGTCCATCCTTGAGAAACTTCATTTACGATAAAAAAAAATATTATATCAACAGCATTTATTCGTTTGCACCTCTCTGGGTAGCTTTAAGTATCGTACGTATTAGAGGATGTAGATGAAAAATGAAAGTTTTGTGGATAAACAATGATTATTTAATTTTCAATTAGCAGTAAAATACTACTCAAGGCTGAAGTATAGAATGAAAAAAATCCAATTTGTTTGGAGCAAAAACTCTTTTTTGATTTTGTAAAAAAGCTTGGATTCAGATTGGAGGTGGAAAATTCACCTCTTAGAAAAATCTTGGCTACGTTAGTTCTGACATACAAATGTTATTCTATGAAGATGTTTTTTCATGTCTATTTGTTTAGAAAATCTTTCCCTTTGTTTCTCCGTCAGTTTCCACGAATGGTACTTCTATTTTTGAAAGTTCAACAACTTGTCTTAGTGGTTCAACACAACCCAAACAACAACGTATTGGTTTTCTATTTGATTCATCATTGACTGCCTTCTTGATGATGGGTAATCTATCTTCAAATTTAAAAACACATGCTGTCACAATGTTTGAAGTTGGAAAATTAGCAGATGAATTATTAGGATCATTCTTACATGAATTAGAAAAAATAGCTCCAATTTCAAATGTAGATAATCAAAATAATGATGAAGGTGAAGAACAACGTTATTTTGTTCATGCACGTATTTTACAACAGACAATTAGTTTTTTACGTTTAAATTCAAATTTATTTGTAAGTGACGATAACAATGGTCTTGGTGTTGATCTATTACGTATTGAAAGTTTACAAAGTCTTGATTCTGAAATTCGTCAACGTTTATTACAACGTAATTATTCGCTATTAGTGTCTATGGCTCCAATTAGTTCAGAAACAATATTTCCACCTTATTATTCAAATTATCATTTAGGACCATGTATTCAAGAAATGAACAGTGTTTGGTTTAAATTATTTTTGTATGATCGAACAAAAAATGGACCACCAACTCTGCTGTTACCCAAAGGTTATCGTCTAAATAAATTACCATTATCGTTAAATAATTTTGAAAAATATCTTGTCACTACTTGGAATCATGATTCAACAATAATCTCGAGTGTCAACATACTGTTAAGTGTCAATGATGCACTGTTACATTCGTCTGTTCTTTTACAAGGTTATTCTTATTTGTCAAATGGAAAACAACAACATATACCATTTCCATTTGATAAAAATAATAGTGAGTTCTATTTGAAACATGATGGTATTAAGAAATTATGCGAAATAATCGATTTGGAAACATCTTGTGGTTACATAACGATGCTTTACATTCCATCAGCAAATCATAAAGAAGACAATGAAGATACAATTGAGGAAATCAATGATTGGTTAATACTTGATCTAAGGTAGACAATTTGAGCACATAAAATAGATCTCGATATATTTTGTCCTTTTGGTTTATTTAGATTTGGTATACCTTTATTTGATGAAAGTATTAATATGAATATAAGAGAAAGTATTATGAGAGAAAGATTGTGCTCAAAAATAATGTACGTATCGACACATTCTCTATTATCATATATAAAATAACGATGTAACTCAGTTCTAATAATAAAATCTCCATCGTGTTTAACTCGATGATGAATAAAAAGCCCTTTTAATCACTAAGTCTGTTTTCGTTATTTTAGCTGCGAAAAACGGTTGAAGGCATCAAATTCCCTAGCTACACAGCTTTTGTCATTTATTAATGAAATTCAGGTAAATACAAGTTGAGCTATCTATTTTGAACTGTTTATAGCTGCTAGAACAATATAGCAGTAGTATGATAGAGTAAAAATTCGGAAATTGTAGAAATCATAGATGCTAATTAAATATTTTTAGAGAACTCTAATGTATAGTAGATTGAATTTGCTTTTCTGCTACTAGTCTTATCTTGAAATAGTTCGCACTTTACAATGATAGTTGAACTTTTCTACTCTTACAAGAAGTTGTCCTTTCTTTTTAGATAAACGAACCGTCTCAGTACTCCAGTACTCGTGCACATAGTCAATTATCTACTCTGCTACCCGTTCGACCTGTCCTTTTTGATGGTCGAATAATTGATAAAATTAGTGGGAAAGATGATGAACACAATCATCGTTCGAGTTAAACGTTCTTGCTATTGTTATTTACTTGTTGTTGTTGCAATACTTGATCGTTGTCTTTCTATTCACTTATTTGATGTATGTGTTTTTTTTTCTTTTTGTTTGATATGTTCTATTTTCTAATAAGAGATTATATCATTTTTGTTCCAGTATTTCGTTGATATGAGGATCAAGCGATTTTTCATTATAACGAGTTTGAATCGTTCATAAAACGTCTATTTTGTTTGATTTTTAACTTTTATTTATTTTTTTAAAACAGTGAGTACCTTTTTTTTCTTATCTACCCTATAGACCTTATTTGTGACTGATAAATCTTTGTTGTTGTTGTTGTTGAAGCAATGTTTTTTTTATTGTGTGAAAAAAAATCATTTGTGAATTGTGATCTATTTTATAATAACGAACGAACCTGTATAAATAGCAATTACTCACTTTACCAGTGGACATTTAGTATTATCACTTTCATCGGTTTAGTTCATTCTTTTTAAAAATAAAAAAACTATAGTTTATATATTCTTTTGTGAAGTTTTAGCGATTGCATCTAAAATTATAAATTTATCCTTCATTAACTCGTCTCAAAATCGGTGTCTTATGCAGTTTCTTTTCTTTTGACTATTTTAGTGGGGTTTTTTTCATAAATTTGATGAGTATTACACGGTTAACAAAATCTCAAGGTGTTCAACAAGCAACATCAGTGACAAACGATTCAGACGATGTAATTTGCTTTATCTAAAGTGGATCAAAGATCGACAAATTATATTCACTCATTTTATTTTAGGAGATCGTTGTACCGGTCAACGCAGATACTATTCATTTGACTATGTTGTGTAACATTTGTCACAAGATTCTCAAAGATGCTGTTATTTCAACGTGCGGAGTGAGTATCTCAATGACAGTTTCAAATGGATGACACAATATATGAATTTCTTTTTTTAGCACACATTTTGCCGTCGATGTATTTTATCAAAACTCACAAGTTAGTATATAATATTCCTCTTTTTCGTATGTATTATTTTATGGAAAAAGCCGAAATTGTTTTTAGCGCATTGTCCAATCGATAATCAATTACTTCATGCTGTCGTCAACAATATTATTATTAACGAACAAATAGCTGATATTCTAATATGGTGTAAATATAGTTGTAAAAAGTTGTCATCATCAATCGATAATAAATATATTCATGATGATGAAAATGGTTGTCAAATGAAAATTCAAATTGGAAAACGAGCGTAAGTTTCACAACTTTTAATTTTTCTCGAAAAACAATGTCCAATCGATACATAAATAAACCGTTTACAGTAATATATTTCATCTAAATAATATTTATCAAAATTTATAGCGTATTTTTTCTCTATTTAGAAAACATGAAGACGTTTGTGAATACGTGTTTGTTACCTGTCCTAATGGATGTTCGCAAATTCGGAAGAAAGTAAGTTGTCGTCTTCTTCTATGTTACGTTAATTGAGAAGTTAATAGAAAAATTGTTTATCTATTAGAAAAATTTAGTTTAAGATCGATGATATGTTATTAAAGATGCTAAATTGAAGTTATGAATTCGTTGTTTAACCTCTCTATTTGAGAAGAAGAGTTTGATTTTGAATGAATGTCGATATTTTAATGGGAGATATTTCTCTTTATTATTAGTAGGATCTCGAAGAACATATCTCACATTGTCATTATACTGAACCATGTCCAAATTTTATCTTTGGTTGTCAATATCAATCAGATCGACATAATATATCATTTCATGCACAAACTTGCACATATTATACAAATCAAATATGTAATGAACAATTAGAAGATGAAATTCAATTATTAAAACATGATTTACATGAAAAAACTCAACAAATTGAATTTTTGACAACAGCAGTTAGTCAATTATCAGAAAAAATACGAGAATCAGATAAAGAAATTGGTAAATTACAAAAAATTTTCTTTTTTCTGATTATTGAGCAATCTGAGGAAGTTTAAAATTTATTTTGTTATAGATGAACTAAAAGAAAGTCAAAATCAACTTAAAATTACCAATGATTTAATATTTGTACGAGCATAAAGTAAAGAATAATAATATCATACATAATGTTATCATTTTTCTAGCAAGAACTACAAACTTTACAAAAACGAAACAATTTATACATGATGAATGATCTACAATTGGCGGATGAGAGTGGTATGTTGTTACAATATCTGATGTCATTTAACTATTAATATTTTTTATTTTAGAAAATTTTGAGCAAAGTTATGTGGCTTTACGTTGTAATGGAACATTTGCCGGACATACGGATACAGTGTGGAGTTTATTTGCATGTGAAAATACACTCATCAGTGGATCAAGTGATAAAACAATCAAAGTACGATTAGATTTTCATATTTCAAAATATTAAAAGATAAAGTTGATTCATAAAATGTTTTCATTTTAATAGATATGGAATTTACATGAGACACCTTATTCGAATCTTGTTACATTACATGGACATACTGATGGTATTTTATCTCTAACTGTAAAAGAAAACACGTTGTTTAGTGGCGGAATGGACAAATCGATTTGTGTATGTTTTATTCTCTCTGTTTTAACCATCAACTGGTTTTTATTCAGACCAGATTTTTGTGAGCATGTCCTCTGTCGTTTTGCTCTATTTTTCCTACTTATTTCAGCAAAATGACATTAAACGCATCTTATTTACTAGTCAGTTTTATCTTGTGTATACGCTGACTAAAACCTTGAGGATAAGATTCAGTTTACGACTCCTTTCATCACATTGATGCCGATGTGATATAATATATTTCTAGCTTTTATTCCCAGTTGTTTTGTGTATATTGTTCGCCATATCTAATATTTATTGCAATGTTCTTTATTCTTTATTAAACTATAAAGCTTTTTTTTAAGGTTTGGAACATAGACAGTTATGAAAAGACGGCATCATTTAATGCTCATACAGCACCTGTATGCTCTCTGGCTTATTTCAACAATTATCTGTTTAGTTCATCGAATAAATCTGTAAAAGTAAGCGATACCATTGAAATTTCATTGATGAGTGAATCGACAGCTAGTGTTATTCTCACCAAAATTTGTTATTAGATATCCTTTAGAACGTCAGTCAACAAATGCAGACGTTTGTTTAGTAAAAGAATTAGATGAACCTTCACTACAGTGACGTGGCGAAACCAAAAAGTAGAAGTGTGAGTTTTGAGATAGTAAACTGAAATATTCCGAGATAGGGAATGTTCCAGAAGGGAAAGTGAAATTGAACCTACATAATATACTATTCCATCCACAGCGATATTCAAAGCGATAAAGAGTATCAATATTTCAAATTTTGAAAGATTTGTTGTGGAAGAACGTTTGGACTTGAGAGATCATAAAATGTCGAAAAACAGAATGCTTCTCTTATCTCCAACGGACTAGTTAATTGACTGTCTAAGCTCATTTTGAAATCAAAATGAAAAAAAGAGATCTATTCTTATTGTAGATATGGGATATGAATACATTAACAAATGTGAATGAGATAAAAACAAATGATGGTTGGATGAGAGTGTTATTACAATCAGAAAACAAAGTTTATGCTGGTTGTCGACGAGTTGTTAATGTAAAAAAAAGTAAAATGTTGATTAGTTCTAAGAATTAATATGAAATTATATTTGATAGGTATTTGATGCAATTAATCATCGAACAGTAGTGAAATTTGAATTACCAACAAACGAATCAATTTATAGTTTAGCCTATAATTCATCAAGATTATTTGCTGGAACACTTTCAGGAACAATCTATGTACGTATAGTCGATTGTTTGTCATGATTTAATGAATTCGTCAATGATATTTTGTTTAAAATTTATTTAGACTTGGGATATACGAATGAATCAATGTTTAGAACCTCTTTATGCACATGAATCAACTGTACATGGGATACTCTATCATTCTATGAATAATAAAATGACATTAATTAGTGTATCGAGTGATCGAACATTAAAGGTAAATATTTATTAAAATATTATCTATTGTATAATCTTAACAGGTTTAAATTTTCAAAGATCTGGGATAGTGAAACATTTGAATTATTACAATGTATTTGTCGACATGAAGCAGAAGTAACAGCATTACATGCAAATGAAAGACATGTATTTTCTGGATCGGCTGACACAAAAATAAAGGTTAGTTCTATATCTAATATTATTATTAGTATTCATAATTGGTTTGTTTTAATGACGATGATAGGTTTGGGATTGTATTGAATCAACGCTAACAGTCTAAACAATTTGTTAGTAACTAAAATTTTTTTCTTTAAACTCAATTTTATTTTGTTGCATTTCATTTTTGTATACCATTTTATACAAACTCTACTCATTTTTTATTCAAATCATGTATGAAACTATTTTTTTATGAATTTATATGCATATGCTAATAAAATAATAATTATATTCAAAACGGTTTTTATGTGTATTTCTGCAGTCTAATTATATGATCAATTTACTTTGATTAGTATTTTACTCCTTTTTCTCATTCGTTTTATAGATAAATTCTCCATTATGCAAAATATTCAACAGTCTCTAAAACGATTAATAATATTTCGTCGTTTTGTTCAACATAAACAAAATTCATCAACGGTACCATCCGTTAAAGATGTTGCTAAACAACGTATTAAAGACTTACGTGTAGAATATGATAAACCCGTTCAATTTAGTAGTAGTGCTGCTAAAGAATGGGACACATTAGATTCTTTAATACCAAATCGAAAAAATGGTATATTTAATCGACCATTATTATTGAGTGCATTAGTTATTAACCTCGTACGTATGTACATTTATATATAACAATAGTGTTAATTTATTATTTTTTTCTTCTTAATTCAGATTTATTGGGGTTTTCTTCGTGAAGAAAATGATCTTGATGTGCAAGTATCACGTCAACCATGGGAAATATTACCAAAAATGAATATTGAATATTTAAGAACGGCTGAACGACAATATGCTGAAGCTGGTCTTGATACATCAACAATCGAAGCAAAAAAACAAATTTTTCAAGATACTTATTTTCCTCAAGTTAATGAACAAATACGTGTTAGTAGAAATAAATAGGATCCATTTGACAAATAATTCTATATTATTTTTGCAGTTAAACCATTACCATTTTCACGTCATGTATATAACATTGTATTGATCATAGTAAACAAAGTCATTAATAGTATATTACAGTTATCAAATTGTTTATTTTTTCTAATTTATTAACAACCAAACTATGTAGATGAATTTAAAAGAATGAATTTATATCTGACATGCATCGGCATTCATCAATTCTTTTTTAAAAATTATGAAAAATAAAAATCTAGCTTCAAAGTTACTTATTCTAAATGGTTGTTGAATACGTAGGATTCGAAGACGTACAGAGAAACGAGAAACAATTCCTTTGTTCGAGAAGCGTGTTTCGGACGATTAACAAAACGGCGGGATTCCCGTGAAGCGGTAATTTTTTTTGTCATTACTCAACGACGATCGAACCTAAACCCACAAATAGCAAACGATTCTATCGTCGTCCATTTTGTAGAAAAATAGACATTTTCAATTTATTTTCCTATGTATTAAAAACATGACATTCAGTGAGAAGGAAACTTTAAAAATAACGACATTGAAAAGAAAAAAAGCGAATTTAAAAAGCAACGAAGCGGCAAAAGTTTCTCAACAGAGACAGGACGATTGTACATCTTTAGTTGGATTGTCCAGTAGATCTTGAAAACAGTGATATACAATAGGTTTTGTATTCTCATTTGATAAGATGAAAACAAGAATATTACTGAAATGCACTAGAACTGCCGCATTTGCATCACAGAAGAATCTTTTAAACCTGAATCGCTGATGTTCTTTCTAAACGAAAACAAAAATAAAAGATACGTGTATGTGATCATTTAAAAATATCTACCCTTTTGAATTTTGATCAGGTTTTCTTCTATGAAATAATGAATAACACTATTAAGGGGGGCTCCATTTCCTCCCATATACGCATCCCCTGTCAGTTTCAAGAGGACACCTGATCACATATATCCTTAAGTTTTTTCGATGAACTGATTCACAGAATTATTAATTAATTAAGTTTAAATTTTAATTAAAGTTTAGAGTCCTAGTCATCATTTTAAAAAGCTTATAGCGCAGTCAAAAATAATCGGATAAAAGTCATTCATGCATTGTTTGATAGCCAATGGTTTGTTGTTATGGTGCGACGGAAATTTTTTTTAAGACACTAATTTATAATCAATCAATGCTAATAAATCCTATCACTCTGGTGCCTTACACTTTTATTTACAAATAAACGGTTTATGAGAAACGGTGAAGTAATATGTCATTCGACAAAGATTTCCAAGCTCTACAAACGTTTATACTTGCCTGTTCAAAATGTTATCGATAAGCAGTTATTTGTACTCGATTTTAGGTAAACGGGGTCTCTATTCTTGATTTCTGAATAGAGCGGCCATGGAAGTTTTTGGAATAACTCGAGAACAAAAAAAGACAGAATTCGGGTTTTCAACATTTTGTAGAGACGACTTTACTCTCTCTTCACATATGTTTTGTGCAAAACATCCCGGTTTTTCAGGTGGTGTACCTCATGGATGGAAAGCGATGAGGTTGGCAGATTCTGACCCTGCGGCGGACTTTTAATTGTAACATGGTGGCTAGATAGTCATAGTGTTCTCTACAGTTCTGCGCAAGGTCGACCTCTCTATCTGTTGTGGTTCTCGAATGGCAGGCATTTGCGTAAGTCACCCGTAATTCGTTATTATTCCGTCGGGTGAATGCCTGCTATTTGAGAACCACAACAGATAGAGAGATCCATCTTGCGCAGAATTGTAGAGGACACTTTTGGTTATCTAGCCACCATGTTACAATCCTTCAAATTCAAATCCAATCTTCCTCTTCAAACTGACATAGGTTGAGGGCACATATAGGGGCTCCACGGCCTCTCATTAACTACAGTGTGAAACTCTTGCCAAAGATTCTGCAATAATGAAGGACTCTTGATACTCTTGGTAAATTTAAAACAGATGGAAGAAAATTTTGAAAATCACAACGGTACACCCTCATCTTCCCGCAGTCAGTCATTACGCACGATTTTTTTACCAAGTTTTTTTCCATCATTCACCGTTTTTTCGCCTCCCCCTTAAAAACTGATAATGTACAACAGCTTCTCTATGCGTATTTGATCTTGTTTGAATCGTACAAAATATATTTTTACAATGAAACTGATGAAATTTGTGGTTAAACTCTGTTTCCTTATTGTTGAGAGTAATGGCAGATGTTTTTTCATACTCGTACTTATTGAAAGTCGTTGGTATTCGGTCATCAACACCGTAATTTTTCAGGTAGTGATGATGCTACTCATGTACATCTTTGTCGACAAATAATTGCCATCTAAATTATCCATGGATGAACATTTGTGAATGTGAGAATAAGCTTTATTTTGTGACCGTTTGTAATTATTAATATTGAACCTATTTTTTATCAAAGGTTTTTTGAAACACATTGCGATTGTTTATAGGCTAATGTTTGTGAACAACAAGATTTTAATTCATGACTCTAGTCCATAAAAAATATAAGTTGAGTTTGAGTTAACAATGTTGCAAGAGAGAAATTAAAGTTGTTTACCTATGATTACTTCAAAATATTTTTATAAGCTAAATTTAACAAGAACGGCGTACATAGACATCGTTGGGTTCTTCTAAATTTAGTTTCAAGATCAATGGTAGTAGTACTTCAAACACAAATTGTTGCCTTGTATTTTACTTTAGTCTTAACTTATCATTTTATTCTCTATTCTGTTACATATCTTAATTTCTCATCAATTATATTACCTTTCGATATTTGTCTAATAAGTGTATCATCTTGATCTAGTATATTATCGGATAAATATCCCCTCTATTTTTTCAAATTAAAATAGTGTCCAATATTTTCATTATACTTCGTTCAGTGATCTTCATATTCTCTAATGACTAATATTTTTCCCGTTTAAATATCAAAAGCTGTTGGAGTCAGACTTTGCCAATCAAGGCCCTGCGCATATTACAAATGACAATTTTTGAAAAAAAATATTGATTTAGAGAAAAATACAGGATGCTTTAGTCTAAAGTCTCCCCTTCCCCGTAGTAGTTTTTTTTGTCTAGCAAAAACACGTTTTCTGGATTTTCAGCAAGTTTTTTAAAAGTCTTTTTAAAAATATCAGTAAAAACGTGTCAACAAGGTCCTTATAGGTATGTGTCTATGCGGCATATATCGATCAAACTCTCCATGGGCGAAAACTCCTACGGAATGACGGACAAGTATTTTTTATCTCAGATATTTCAGAAATAATTTACTATTTAACCGTTTTCAACCGGATGTTGCCATATGATAGCATTTTTTTGACTGTATTTTAGAAAAAGCCGGCCATAAAGGGTTAAAAAGAAAAAGTATGTGGCGTTTTCTCAAAAATTGGTTTTTCTCTTCAGGATGTTTTGTATTTACAGATCCATTAAAAAGTTCCTCGAGATTCAATATAAAATAATGAAAAAAATTCTAACAGAGAAAAACGGTGATACTTTATTTTGTTTTTATATTCGTTTGTGTTGTGTCATACGATCAACTAAATATATTTCATGACGTTTGAACTATCTATTGTTATATGATATTTTTCCGGTTCATTAAGCATAAAGTTTTAGTACGAAATATAACAATGAAATTATGTTCAGTTCATTTTTATGAATAGTATAGCGGTAGTAAAAAAAACAAAAATATGACAAATTCATGTAATTTCACATTTCATGGAGAATTTATTGGTCGATTACATAAGAGACTACAATTAAAATTTTTTGCGTCATCTTCAAATTGTTCTGCTATTGTTAATCATATCTTAGTACAGTACATACGATATAATAATCAAACAAATACAACGGCTATGATGATGTACAATCGAAATATAAATGGTGAATCATTAGATTGATATACTTCGCTAATCACGTTAGCACTTTGTTCTACAGATAGAATTATATTAAAAATGTAAATATGTGCTTAAAAATATGCGTAATATTCCATCAACTCTTTATACCTCTGATCAATGCTAGTCATATTCGTATTTGTGCAGCACCAATTATTGATTACGAACAAATATCTCATGATTATTTGTGTGAAACGTTTCCAGTTGTTTATAATTTGAAATATGATTATTGGTTGCTCATTATTATTTCTTTTTATATTTTAGTTTTATTACTTCTAATTATTGCATCCGCATTAAAACAGATTTATTCAGCTATGACATATAAACATAATCCACAGTCGAAGGACTTGTTATCAATGCATTTAGGAAAACGTGGTGAAAGTGTACATAATAAAAATGATGAAAGAAATCAGACTTCTGCATCAGAATTTGTCAATATTGAAATGACAGAAAAGAATGAAACGGATGAAAATTATCTAATTGATAATAATAGCCAATTATATCGACAACAAATATTAAAACCAAGACTGTTAACAAGTATATTACGTTCTAATTCATTAATTAGTTCAACTCCAAAAACACATAAAAGAGTTCATATTCAAGGATTTTTTAACGATTGTTTTGAACAATCATAAGCAGTAAATATAACCGCATTCTTATCTACCTCTTACATCAGTTATCGATAGTCATAATGATTGCATCAGGTACAGAAGATTCATAGTATATTCTAATAATAACACAAGATCTATCTCGCCAATGTAAAATTTCGACTCACTATCGTTTTCGATATAGGAGGAAGGTAACATTTTGTGACTAATAATATATTTTTGTGCAATATGTAAAATGTGCTACACAGCTTAAATTCTAGTTTCATTGATGACCACGATAGACTCTTTCTATATTTTAATTCAGAAATTTTATGAAGTCTGAGACAAAACAACTAAAATGTTTTTTAACTGTTCATCAACACAGTTGAACTTAATGCTTACTCATTGGCTTAAGTTTCTTTCTTCTCTTAAGCAATACAAATTGCTTATTTATTTTTTCAACAATAAGTTCAAAAATTGATTTACTCAATACACCGGCTATCGCTTGAAAACAGAAAAAAACTAAAATGTTTTTCTTTGTTTTTCTTTAATTCAATTGTGGACTTGAACTGGTAAATTTTACTCTAGATTCAGTGTTTGTGTTTTATAGCTTTTTCTCTCCTAGTATCGTTTCTCAATTTATATTTTTTATTTTGATGAACATTCAAAGAATGTTCCACGTAATAAATACATGCATAGTTATATCATCAAGATAAGACAAAATAAAATGCGCTGTATACACAAAAAAACAAAAATAATTGTAAGAAAAATAAAGATAAGAACGGTGAGATACAGACTTTTACTATATACAAAAGGTTAATAAAAAGTCGATGTAGACAAAAGTTCATTATTTAATTAAGACAATAAATTTATTTTATTATTCAGCTAGTTAGTGACTATTTTGATGAAATTTTGAGCTGTTTGGATGAATTTGTACTTTCGTTACACAATAATAACATTATTACTTGATAATGTTGTTGTTGGTGAATATGACACATCATCATCCTTATTATACGAAGAATCAACGATTGTACTTTGTATTGAATCAAAGTATCTTTTATTTGATTGTATCTGATTATAGCGTGATGTTGGTAAACTATCGTTACCATAGTAATCTTCATCATCATGTTCTTCACCTTCTATTGAATCACCAGTATATGTTACCTGAGGAACGTTCATCTTTGTTCTGAAATGAAAAAATTAGATAAAATATTAAATCAAATGTTTGAACAGAAAAAAACAATATATTTAGTCTTACGTCAGTACTCGGTGTAAAAATTGAAAATAAACAAATGGTCCAAATAATATGTAATATAAAATGGTAGTAACATCAACAAAACTACCAAAAAAACAGATATAAAATTTTTCTAAAAATAAAATTATAATGACTTTTAGAAAAATAATTACCATATGCCGTAGGTAATTACACCAGTCAAATTTAAAATTGTACCAATCACTTGAACGAGACTGAAACAGGCTAATACCAAACAATAATAATAAAACGATCGCCGAACTAAAACAAAAAAATATAGTGCATAATTTATCTCTTACATTGTATTTATTTCTTTTATTTACTAGGAAGATATTTTCGATATTTTTGACATAGATATGGTAAGAAAAATATAATTGTATAAATCTAAAATGAAACAATGAGTATGATGAACAAACAAGATAAAGATATAAAAAAAATTTTGTCTTATCTTACAATAAGAAAAACTGACGATGACGTAAGCAAAAATTTTAATCCACCATAAGCGTACAAATTATGAGTAGATGTAAAACCATTTGGTCTTGCATTTTGATAAAATTCAAAAAATCCCTAAAAATACAAACAGATAAACAAATAATTATTCGATAAAAATAGACAAATTTCTAAAGTCTAACCTGAGCAATAGCATAACAAAGTGAAAAAATGATAGAAAGACATATTATTTTAATTGTGCATGACCATTGATTATTGGGATTATAACGAACTAAAATTAACACAAAAAAGAAATAGTCATTTCAGACAAACAACTTACATTACTTACCATAACATAATCCAAATAATAACACACTGAACTCTGTACATAAAAGAGTAAATCTAAGTAATAGCCACATAATCTGAAAATATTCCAATGATTAATTGAACATTTTGAGATGAAAATAACTAAATTAGATTTACTTTAATAATAACATTTTGAATGAAGATATTTGGATGAACAAATATCATTGAAAGTATACATCGAATAATACTTGTCAACGTTACAATCATAATCAACGTAATAACACTTAATACTAATGGTTTTCCAAAAATTTTTTTTTTTCGTGAACGATACCATTTTTGTGTCAAAAATAAGAAAAATAATATATTTGGAATTAATATGAACACATCAAAATAACGTATTCTAAAAAGAGAAAACAAATCATTTGTCTTTAAATTCATATAAATGTAAAAAATATGAGAGAAGTTCAAATACACATAAATTTTGAAATGTGATATCTCAAACATCCGTATATCTTTTCTACTTTTCATTTTAATACATATTTTACATCAATCCTACATTGAACTTGAATTATTTCGCATCAGAGATACGTTAAAGAATATCCAAATAATTTGAGGCTATTTGCCTTAGCAATGACAATCTCTCTGTATTTCTTCATGTGAAGTTTCTTTCAAACATAAACAAGTTTTTCTGGTCAAAATATGGTGTGTGCGATTCTCTGTGTGTGTGCTCCTACGTCAAGAATTATAAACATTTTCTTACAAACTTTAACATGACACAACGTTTTCACTCAAAATCGTCTTTTTTTTCACTGAGAAATGCTCGTAATTTCCCAAAGTTTTCATCCATTTCAGATTGATTTTAAACTGAAACCAACATTTATTATTTACAATATACAAACGACAGCAATGTTAAAGAGCAATCAGTAGCATTCCCATGCATAGAACACTTATAATAAGGATAATAAGGACTTTTATAGACTCTATCTAATCTCATCGAACAGCTCATATCGAAATTGTTTTTTAACACAGCATTATGTTAGTACTTGTAACAGTATCCGATTTTCAAGTTTTTTTAAGCCATTAATCAACAAACTTTCAGTAGTGAGCTGATTAAAATATTCAAAAAAAAAACAATATAATTGCCAATGACTATAGCGTCGACAAAATATATTCAAAAAGTAAATTATTATAGAAAGATCCCAACTACAATGATCACGAACTGATAGAGATTTTTTTTCTTATCTGAAACTAATAGAAAGTAAAAAAACTTAGAGAAACCGGCGTCTTTCTTGGCGAAGATTAAGTGAGTTTCAAGAAGTAAAAAATGCAAGAAACCTTAATCATTAATTAAACTTAACTATGCACTTCCTCTTAAAATACAATCTCGTTTTAAATCTTACACAACAGTTTTCATTTGAAACTTTCTCACGCATTGTCTGATGCTACTAGAAAACTACTTAAATTTTAAATTGCGAGAAATTTGTTATTATTAACTTCTCTGCTCTTATAAATACCGTCATAAATAGTTGTTTTTATAGATTAACACTTACCGAGAAAATAATATTGTTTCGGTTCGGAATCGTACACATATTGATGTTGGTATTGAAGATGAAGAAATCATGGCTTACTAAAGACATGTATGTCGAACTCAAAACATCTAGAAGTAAAAATAAAACAACAATAACAGTAACTGATTCAAGGATTTTCTTTAATGCACAATAGAAAAAAAAGGTAGACTTAGATAGAGTAATCAGAACATTATCAATAGCTAAAAGGAAAATAGTACATACAATACATCCCTATTTGTAAATATTTTTTGAGCAATTTTTACAAAACATGAAGTAAAAATAGCATATTAAACTCAAAAGTGTACTCAAAGATGATCATGGACATCTTATAAGGACTATTAAAAGAGAGCAAATCAGCTGTTTGTTCGGAAACTGAAAAAAGTATTAATTCGCAATTTATCATATTTTAACTAAACTAAACAAAACTGGTTGATTGAAAGAAGTTTCTTGTCAATAATTCTATCAGATGGTGGCCGATTTCCAGAGAAAAGTGAAAAAAGGCATTGGATATGAACGTTCAATCGGTTTCTTCGACGAGATGTCGCCTCTGTCTAACTACACTAGCGTTTTTACAACTTTTTTCCTCTTGTTTTTTGATAAAACGTCTTTCAGTTGAGAGAATTGATTGATACTTCAGTTAATAGATGGTTTGCTACAAGAAGGAAGCATAGAAAATTGAAAATTTTCCTTTATTTAGTCAGCAAAATATGAAAAATGGTAATCGATATTTTTACCGTTTGTGATGGGAAACAAGGTTGAAAACGGAGCTGGTCAAAAAGATCTTTGCCACCATTTTGTAGAGCCCGATGAATATTACAAATGAGAATAAAACCAAAAAAATTCTACTGAAGACTGTTTTGGGTGATAAGTACCAATTTTGGTGGTATTATAAATATTCATACTCAACGACGATCCATAATTCTTTTTGAGTTTCCTCTTATTCTGGAACGCTCCGTCATCTAAATGAGAAGGTAGAAGAAGCAGAAAAAAAGAAGAGTAGATAATGCTTCGATCAAGTCATCTTTTTCTTGTATATAAATGTTATAGGTGGTGTTGTTGATTGAAACAATGTTATACATGCGACACTATTTGTAGAAACCATCAAAAATGACAAATCGACAACCGGTGTCGTAGTGGTATTAATACCCATCGGTGTTGGTGTTTTATTTTGTTTAAACGATAGGATTCCAATATTGTAGAGCGGCTTGGATTTATTGGAGTAATAATAACGATGAATTGGTAATTCGACTTCGAAGTTATTAGAGCTATCATCAACTTCTAATCGAGATTTCTTTATCCGCATGATTATTTCCTTTGTTACAACAGTTCTTTTTACCTTTTGGCATTTGTATTGTTATCAAAGTCTCCCACTTAAATCAGAATGGTGGTAAACCGCTGCCCTATATATTTGCATCAAGAAAACCTAAAAGCTAAAAGTTTTCATATTTGAGAAGAAATTTTGAAAACTACACCTGTCACATGCATACTAAAAATTGTCATTTCTAACATCAACAAACGTGTTCTTCTTACATATAGCCTGATAAAGAAAAAATAACTAATGGAACCGGTAAGCGCCACATTCAACATGTTGTAAGCAACTCTACAACAAATAAGTATTTTTATACAGAATAAAAGAAAGATACCTTAAATAATGTTCCTCTGATCATGTAAATACCATTGTAACGGTCAAGTTAACTGGTAAAGCGTACATAGCTCACACATTTCTGTCCTAAAAAAACAGATACGACTGTTTTCGAATCATTTTATTATATTTTAATGATTATCTAAGCATTTTTTCACTCTTCTATTGTTGAAAAATTAGAAAAACTCATATAATATCTGTTATTGAGATTCTTATATTATGCACAGAGTTTAAAAAGAAATAAATGGACATGCATACATTAGTTTTTCTTAAAAAAATAAAAAATTCTAACTGTGGAATGGCATTGAGATAGATGCAGAAAAAGAGTAAAGCGTTCGACACTAAAAATGTACACATGTAAAATGAAAAATAGACGATCGAATTAATTTTTTAATAATTTTCTTATCCATTCTTCATAATTAACATTTCCATTTTTATCTTCTATACCCATCAATAACTGTTCAACTTCATCATCATTTAAACGTTCACCAAGATTTGTTAGTAAATGTCGAAGTTCAGCAGATGACATTAACCCATTTTGTTCTTTATCAAATACTTTCAAACCTAAAAACGCAATGTCAATTAATTATAATAATCAAATTTATTTGATTCAAGAGTCTGTATACCTTCGATAAGTTCATCTTCATTCATATTGTCTCGTTTTTTTTCTAACGAATTATAGAGTGGAATAAATTCTTCAAATGATATCCTGTCAGCTTTTATTCCTTGTATTGTACTTTTGATATTTGCTTCAGACGGATTTAATCCAAGAGCACGAACCACTTCACCAAACAATTGCTTAGGAATACGGTCGTCACCACGATCGTCAAACAACGAAAAGGCTTCACGAAAATCTGTCGTATCATCGTGTGATGCAGGCATGATCGTTAAATCTAGAAAATAGAAGATATAAAATAGCATAAAACAAAAAACCAGTTTTGCAATTGAAAGTATAAAAATTAAAGTAATCGCTATTATAAACGAAAGATCAAGTTAATTCTCATTTTAATCCAATATTTCATTTCACACTGTTAGGTTAAAGAAAAAAAATCAAGAAATTTTATACTTTTATACTTAAAGATTGTTGTATATTATACTTCAGACAAGAAAATAACCCTAATTTTTCGAATTATATACGTAGAACGTGTATGCTGTTCTTTATTAAAGGCACATGTAGACGTGAATCGATCGACACAGATTTATTTAGAACCAGTTCAACAAAGTAATAGAGAGTACATGTTAAAATACAAAAGAAATGTTGACACGATATAATTTTTCGTTATATATATATATATTATACGAATAGTTTTTTGCCTATGAAAAAGAACAGAAAAGAAAAAAAATGTTTTAAAATGGACAGATATTACACATATCCAGCCAACGTCGATTCACGGAATATAAAATGCGTATTTCTTCTTTTTTTAAATTTCGCGCATTTTTTATTATTGTTTTTTTGTTTCATTATGATAAAACAAACTGATAAGAAATGTAACGAATGTATGAATCAAGACTATGTCTATACAATAAATCATTTCAATGCTCTCTCTAACTCTTACCTGTTCACTCTCATTCTTCTTATAGAATTACTGTTTCAATTTCGTTGAACAAATAGAACTTTCAACGATTGCCAAAATTATTATGATCTAGTTGAGATTAAGGACACATTTTCTTATCAACAACAGAAAAAAGGTTTTAAAATCAAAATATACCTGAAGTTAACCAGAAAACCCCGCAGAACATATTCAACATCTAGCCATTTGATCTAGTGGTAAGACTCTTGCTCGTTAAGGTAGACAGGTCATGTTCGAACCTCACTTTGTACACAAAACATCGTCGACGATGATAATTCTCTTGGCTGTCCGAGAAAGTCATGCAGATAATTAAGAATGTTTCGCAAATTTCTGAGGCGATGTTTTGTTTAACAAACACATGTAGTTTTTTAGAATATGTCTGTCTCGATGGTTAAAAAACAACAACACATCTCCTGTGTATTCTTAAGTGACAAAAGATGACTTATTCGATATGTTTGTTTATAATTAAATAAGTATGTATGACTTCATCAAACCGTAATCAATTCATTTTAACTTTCGATATTGAACAGAATGAATCAATTTCTCCATAGCTTTGAAATAATTTATGATTCTCTTACGCGAGTCTAGACAATCAAAATAGGGCTGTACGAAACAATAACAGAACATCATCAGTAGAGTATCTCAATTAAATAGAAAAGTATCTTCTATTCTATGCTATGCTAAGAAAATACAATTCATACATTTCAAGAGCTTATACTTTATTAATATTATGCCTTTTATCCAACATCGAAATGTGTATTTTGATTGAATAATGCTTTCTTTTTGACATATACAGACTTTAATTCATTTCAATTTCTCCATTTTGACTAGATGAGTTTATCAGCAGAATAGTTACAAACAAATATGGTCTCATATGACATTCTGTTCACTACACTATAAAAAATAAATAGTAGAGAAGCCAGATAAATGAACATAAATGAGATAAGTGAAAAAAAAAGTAAACAAATACAAAAATTAAAAAAGTTGACTTGTTCTTCCGATATAAATTGTATGGGAATTCCGATTGTTCTTTGATGTTTGCCTTCAGAGTCAATATCATCAAACCAGAGTAGTCAAATCATAGTGCTGGTTATTAAGAACATTGATTTGTACTTGGATTATTGACACGTTTTTTTATCTATCTAGGAAAGCAGCCTACAATAAGCCGAAAAGAAAAAAAAGCTATTTACTAATTAGCTGAATAAATCTAATATATTTCTGATGTCTCTTTTTCCATATCAAACGACGCATATATAGAACTAGCATAATCCGGAAAATTAAATGGATTTGGTAATATACTTGATTGTCTTAATGAGTCTAAGACTTCATCAACATACCTCACTGTATCAGTAAATCTTCGTTGATTTACAATTAAAAATCATTTAATGATTTATTAAATAATAATTTTTCTAATTCAATTTTAGACTCTTTTATTGTAATTACTAAACGATCATCAACTGAAGCTGAAAAATGAAGATTATTTGTAATTGCTCTAATTACGAACAAAAGATTATTGTCGTTCTTTCTAAAGTAGACTTTTGATGAAATAAATCAAGGAAAAACAGTTAATACAATCTGATCAAACTGACTTGTCTCTTCATTTAAGACAATACCTAAAATCTTATCTTTCATACAATAATAAACATAATTTCGTGATAACCGGTTCAAGTGGTTGCATTTTTCTAACATTAGTAAGGTAATCGAGCACGATGATTGATCGTATTAAAAACGGTTGGTGTACGTGAACCACTTTCACAACTGACGAAGGACCATCGCCAACTGCCCAACTCCGATTTCAACAATCTTTTGCGATAGATACTATATAGTGTCCTAGTGATAACCTTAAAAGGATTTGAATGTGTGGATCTTCTTTCAAAAGTTAAGAATTTTTTTATTTTCCCAGTTTAGAGCCTTGTCTATATTTTAAAAAATTCATAAGTTCGTCAGAAAGCATAGTAAAGAGCTGAAATTTTTTCCTGTCACACAGTTAGATATCTTCTATTAGCACAGAAAATTCAGCCTCCTTCCATTCCTGCGTTGTAGGATTTTCCTAGCGAAAAGCGAGTTTTATGAAAACTTGGGTTTTCAGACTGTTTTCACCTAGTAGTAAAAAATTTACTGTCCACTCAAAAAAACATCACAACAAGTTCAAAACTTCAGAATGTAGAGTGCTGAAGCTCTTCTGTACCCTATTTATAGGAGATCTAGAAAGAGATCTTACAAAATTCTAAGGTTTTCCAAGAGGATTTCTAGAAAACCCATCAACAAAAACATATCCTGAAGTTTTGAACTTGTTGTGATGTTTTTTGAGTGGACATTGT